TTTTAGTTTTTAGTTTTTGTGTCTTATTATTATTTTAAAAGTATGTAAATGTTTCCATATAAAATGTTCTCATAAAAAAAATATAAAATGTTAAATAAAATAAATATTAAATATATTAATTATATTTCATATCTTTTTAAAATATTATAAAATTAAAAAAATATATTGTTGCAGCTACATATCAATGCTTCGAAACCAAGCCTAAATTTGAACACTCTAAATTAAAAGTTAAGCTCACTAAAGTTAAATGGAGAGAGTATTTGTTAATTAATGTAAAAAAAAAAAATCAGACTTCTTAATTATTCCTAACTTCCTAAAGAAGTTTATGAATTTTATTTTACTTTAATTTTATAATTTGATATAAAGTAGTTATTACCACAAAGCAAGCTATTTTAATTTGCTGCTGGGTGCTTCAATAAAAAAAAAAAAAAGAATGTAAAATTGACCTCTAAGTGTGTTTGGTTTGAAAGAATTAATAAAAGGTTATTCTTCCAACCAAATTAAGATTTTAATTTAATGTCTTAATTTTATTATTAGATAAAAAAAAATTCTCATTCCTCTCTTTCCTCACACCAAAATATTCCTAGTCCTAATAAATTAAGCTTGAAATCCATCCTAAGCAACAGGAAAAAAAAATGTTAAGAATTTTTTCTCTGTCAAATCATTTTTTACCGTGCACAGCCAAATGCCTGTATTATAGGCCACAAATCATTTTATAAATAATTTTTCATCGGTCTTAAAATTCAATCTCAAAAATTAAAACAAACCTAACTAGACCAAGATTCAAGGATTTTTGGTTTCATTTTTTTTTTCCTCACTCTCCAAAATTTATAGTTGTTCAGAAAAAATCTCAAAAATCAAAACACATCCTGATCTGAGTTATCATAATATTCATAATATTAGAGGAGGGGGATACAGCTGACAGTATTCCTGTTGCAGTGAAGACATTCTCCCTGTACAATTTCCCTGTTCTTTCTAATTCGATAGGCTTTTCCCTTGAGCAAAGCATGTTCTTTTTTTTGGGTCAAAACTCGGTTCCATTTGCCGGTTAAAATTTCAATTTTGAGTTTAGAATTTTTCCTGGGGTCGGCAAGACCCAGTCAATGAAGACTTCACAACTCTTCTTCATTACAGATAAGACCCAGGGATTGATTTTGAAGCAAATTCAATCATTTCAATGAAAAAAAAAAAAGTATAATAAAAACCAACTTTATTCAATATCACGACTCCTACATTATTTTCATTCATTCACCAACTAGACATAGAATCACCGGAGCTCTACAGACCCACCGGCAATCTTCACCAACGCGACGACTAATGATAAATACTGAAAGGAACCCCCCAAAACAAAACAAAGAGAAAAGCAATTACTGACCAGAGCCCATTAAACAGTAACAAACACCTAATGATAATCAAACTAAATTATTTGCTATAGAACCACCAGAAATCACTTCCACCGGAGACTTCGTTGACGAAGATTACTGAAACATAACAACAGACACTAATCCCACCGGAAAACAACCATAATCGAACCTAAATAACGCTATACAATAGAAGCTATTGTAAATCCCACGATTGAGGTCGCGTAGTTGAGTTCAGTTGAGTCAGCGAATTCGATCTTTCCCCTTGAAAAAATAAGGGAAGATCGAAAATCAGAGAACCCAAACTTTAATCAACGAAGAAGCCAACAACCACCGGAGCGCATCTACTTTGGCTACAAATCTAGCCTCAGAATCCTTCTCAAATCACTCGTAGCATCGTCTGTTTTTGCTGCAACGACGCATCTTTTGGTGAAAAAAGCCGGCAACGGCACAGAACTCGGCGGCGGGGAAGTGGTGAAAGCCGAACCCGCGTAAAACGTGGAGACTTTGTCCTTTGACTCGGTGAGTCGGATCTGAGTCGGCGCCAACTCGGGATCTGGGGCTAACCGATTTGTCGAGCCCAGATCTACACCACCCTTCTTTTTCTCTACCTTTACAGGCTCCGCCGCCGGTTTACTCAACTCTTCCCCTCGCTTGAGCATCTTGACCTGCCCCATGACCAGGTTCTTCCCCGGTAGCCCCTGGTCCACAACGGCCCTCAACGGCGGCGAGGTGTTCGGAGAACGTTTCCTCCAGTTAGGTGGGGCCCTGTTAGTCCGATTAGATGTAGGGTTTTTGGGGTGGTTCGACTTCGTCGGAAAAATTAGGGTTTGCTTTGAGAAATGATGCTTGAGACAATCTTCCGGATTCAGAACGGCGACACCCATGATTGAAGAAGAAGAAAACTGATATGAATTTACAGACAGAAACAACAGATTAAACAAATAAATTTAATTTCCTAACATAATCTGAGGACAAAGAAAGATGAATCAGGAAGCAAGGTATGAGCTCTGGTGAACGGCAGACGAGGTAATTTATAGCCAAATGATTCTGTGGGCGCAAAACCCGAGGCGGTTGGTTTACACTCTCGTCAAGGCCGTGTATTCCTTTTCCTTATCATGTTTCTACTTTCCTTTTCTTAAATTATGAAAAATTTTTATTATTCACATATATAAAAATTATTTTTTGAATTTTTAAATATTTATATCGAATATTATTTTGTCTTTAACTTTTGCTTTATGTTTAAAGAAACAGCTCAATCACCTTTACATGGAACATAAAAAGTCAGTAATATTATGAAATATTATTAATAAATAATAGTTGAGTTACTTTATGAAATTATTTTTAACACTTGAATTGGTCTATGGATATTTTTATGGATATTTTTATTAAAATATCTGAAAATAAATTATATAATTGATGTAATTATATATATATAGATATCATGACACATGTATTAGGGTTCAAATATAAAACTTTAATTTGAAATTTTGTGTAAAAAATGAAAACCTTTAAGTATAGTTAAACAAATAATAGTTAAATGTCATTTGTTGTGAATTAAAATTATTTTAAATTAATAGAGATCTAAGCCTAATTAGATTTCAAAATACCATTTATCAATTACCAAATCATGTTATCATAAAAAAACCTACCAAATCAAGGTATGAAATTTGAGATTGGAACATTTCTTTTCAAGTAAAATATTAACAACATTCGATATTACACTCAAATTATGATAGAGCTGATAGCATTTTTACTTTAAAAAACTCCCCCACCCCCCAAAAAAAAAAAAAGGGATAACGAATAAGGCCCAAGTACTTGTGCACTAGGCAAGCACTCCTCTCTTTTTAACTATTATGATATTCTCTTTCTATAATTTTTTTTTATTTTCATAAAAAATTTTACCCACTTTAAATTTAAAAAGTAAAAAATAAAATTAAAGTAAAAAAATAAAATTATTTCAAAATAAAAAAAGTAACAAAAAAAAATATTTCTTTCAAGCCCTAGAATAATTTGTTTTCTGAATTTAGAAATTCACAACTTGTTTTAGAAGTTGTTATCCAGGAATTTAATAATTTTGATGTATTTTTGGTAAATGACTGGAAAATACGAGATTTTGGCAAGTGGTGTTTACGGAAACAAAAGGCGGCTGGGCTGGGAAAGTGGGAGGAAAGAAGCCCACCAAAACCTGGGTTGTTGTGAAGACTGGGTCCCCTGACTGACGTGGGTGAGAAACAACTGGTGAGATAATTATCCACAACCTTACCTGTTCCAACCCTGGACGTTACTCTAATTGCATAAATGCCATTCCGTTTACTCTACCGCTGGATGCTGCCGTTCGTCTTACATTCCCAAGTCTCCACCTATAGTGACCGACTTCACTTTTTTTTTTTAGATTATTTATTTTCAGTTTTTGTTTATTTTTTATTAAAATTTTTAATATTTAAAAATCACATTAAATTTTAATTAATGTAAAATTATATTAAATTAAACTCTATAAAGTTTTTTTTAATACTTCTTTTTGTATTTATAAAATTTAAATTTAAAATCTTATTTTACATTTGATTCGTTGAATCAAATGACTCTTACCACATTATTAAGGTACAGTTCCTCTTTTTTTATTGGGTTAGGTTCAAGTTGCTATGATACCTTGTTTAAAAAAATAAAATTCAAAATTTTATTTTAAAAAAATTAATCTATAACCAATAAGTTGTTAATATCTCTTCTTTATTTTGAGTATATCATTTTGACTAAAATAAACACAATTATTAAACTTGCAAGATGATTGAATGAATACCAAGTTAAAATTCTAAAAAATGCATAAATTCAAGAGAGTACTATATTTCATGCCCCAAGTAAAACATTTTAAAACACAAGTAAAATGGGCGGCAAGTTTGAGCGTTTGACGGTCGCTTTAGATTTGAAAACACGTCTTCAAAAGGGTCCCCTGGACCTTGGTCAATGAACGAAACGGGCAATGCAATTCCCTTTTCATTTTTAAACCCTGGACAGTTGGATTAGATGCGCGTGAAGAAAGGCAGGTCTTGTAATTTCCAAGAGCCTCAGTGTCAATTCATGGGGGAAAGGAAAGGACGTGCGCCCTTCCTCGCATACAATTTGAATTTATATATAAATAATGATATAAAAAATTATTTTTATATCATATTTTTATATAATTTTTATATATTATTTAATTAATAAATATATTTAATAATAATAATAAATAATAAAAAATTTATCTATAAATTATTTTCAGCTTTTGAATACGCACACGTGGCTCTCAACAAGTGGGATGACGTGGACGTCATAAGAGACGTGTTCCCCGCATCTGGCCAACCGACTTTCATTCTCTGGGAAATAGCGGGGCTGGAATGCTGGATGTTTTTTTTTGGGCCTTTTTTTGGGTTAAACTTAAATCGGGCTAGCGGATTGACTAAGTCCAGATTTGTAGGCCGAAAGTGACAAAATTGGATTTGGATCTTCAAGAGTTAAATTATTATCAGCAATATATTGCCAAGCCCAAAAGGCCCAATTAGTATTGCTGCCTGTTTGTTTATTGCCATCGGCTCTGGGTAAATTTCCCCTTCATCAAGCATAGGGTAGATTGACGCAAGTAATAGAATTGTTCAAATAAAATGTATTAGAATTGGATTTTTTTTGTCAATAATTTAAGTAATTTAAGTAGAAATCCTTCTTCTGTAAAAGTAAGATATTCTGATTAGCTCAAGGCACATAGTAGATTGATATTCATAAATTCAGTAATGTGAGATATTTGTCTTTTATTATTCAGTATGCAACTCAAATTTTTTTATTTTAAAGAATAAGTGGATTTATTTTTTCTTAAATAATAAACATTATATTACTACATTTGTTATTTTCTTGCTTTCAATATTTAAAGATAATGCTTTGGTTATGGCTATTTTTGTGTACTAATGCTCCTCTAATAGCACTACACAAAATAAATTCCCATATGAATTCCCATATGTTCCAGTAGTCGTCTCTCTCTCCTCCTTTGAACTTGTACACCGACAACAAAATGGTATTTTAAAATAAATTAAAAATGTTGACTAAGGTATGGAGCGTTTGGGAATCCATCCGCTTGAGAAGATGTACGGTAAATTAAATGATTTCCCGACATCATGTCTCTAGTTTCTCAACCTCATACCTTATAATATATATCCCACTTGCATGCACCCATAAATAAATATACAGTTATATACCCTCGTGTACGCAGTCAGGGAATGAAGGAAATTGCCCCGAAACTTAACCTTGAACAATTTAATTTATAAAATAATATTTATTTAATTATTTGTTAATGAATTTAATTTTTAAAATTGTTTGAGTATATGATTCTTAACTATTTCAAAGTTCATGTACTTTCATGTAATTAATAAAAAGATGATTTATTTGAACATAAAGATGGCGCCATGCCGGTCTAACTGCTACTTAATTAATCCATACTAGTGTTTTGAAGTCTGATTAAGACAACTTAAGTATCATTTATCTACTTGTTTTAATCATGGCAGCTAACTGCCCATTATGAC